AAAAAAAAAAAAAAAAAAAAAACTGAATATAAATCTACAAAAGGCAGGCTGCCTTGAGCAAGGAGCGATAAAATTTGGGACGAGGTAATGCCGCTGCTTACTACACATCACGGGCTCTAAAAACGGCAAAACTTCTCCTTCTTAAGTCGTAGAACATTGCTGAAATGGGCATTTTGTCAGAAGATGAATCGGATCTTGGGGTCACCAACGTCAGGCTGAGCACCGGTCAAAGTTAGTTGTAAAAATTACTAGCTGCATAGATTCACCTACAACTGATCCAGGCATACCAAGGCCAAGCAACGGGGAGTTATAATAGAAGAGAATGGAAAAAAGTGAAAAAAGGGAAATGAAAGTGAGAAATGAAAACAAGAAAATTTGTGACATTATTAAAACAAGTGTCTCGGCCTATTAAGTCGTATACATTTCTTGCCATTACCATAACTGAATTTAAGTCATATGCGCCTTATGTTCGCAACTTTGTCATACAAGTTTACTGAGAATACAGCATTTAATTACCTGCATAGCGCATATGCGGTATCCATATCCGTAACTGGTGGCGTATTCTCATCCTCACAAATCTCCATTTTTCGATGAAAAAAATCACCTGTAAAAGCACACATATTAAAAGACTGGTTTTGCGACAGATGCCGAAATCTCGATCTTTTTATGATGATATCTGCACTGCTATTTCCGCTCTTTGAAAGTGAAACATGGAACACTATACCTGTCAAGGAAGAAAAATGTTAGCGATGACTGCAGCACGATTGTAAGAGCTGCAACAAATTCCCAATGAAAAGCTGTATTTTAGATATGATGTAAACGTTATTATAAGGAATTTACATTACCCCTTATACACATATCAAAAACATACAGTGGTAGTGAAAAGATACAGTTGTGGTTTGAATAAGAACGTATACGACTTAATGGACCGAAACATTCCTTTTCATCAGATTATTTCTAATATTCACACATATACATATGTAAAAACATAGAATTAATATCTTCACGTACGCAAGAAAGAGGAGTTAAGTTAGTAACTGGTAAGAATAGAGGCAACAGAGGGATAAAGCTGATTATTGAATGGTACTCACACGAACGAGGCAGTGCGGTAAAATAATACGTCTGTGTCTCGTCGTGTATCTACACACCTCGCTAGTACTGGGTGCCATAAATTTATAACAGAAATTGTCAAAGTAGGCTAACAAACGCAACTTATCAAAGGGGACTGATGATACTGCGGAAGTAAATCAGAAAATATAAAGATCACAAAAAAAAAACAGTATAATATACAATGAAGGTGCAAAAAAAGGGATAGAATTGGAATGCTTTGGTCCATCAAGTCGTATACATTCCTATTCAATTTGAATCTCGTTCGTGAACTTGCCAGCGTCTTTTCCATTTTGACAGGAACTACAGGACACATCGGTCCAGAATACAATAAAAGGATAAATTAGAAAGCTGCTACACGCCAAAAGAAATAAACGTAATGATTTTTAAAGAGAGAACTGTGGTGTG